TTGGGGCAGAGCAGCGCCAACAGCTCTGCCCTGAGACTGGGTGAGCTCGTGCCTGCCCTTGGCAGCCTGCCTGCCTTGCTCGCCTTTGCAGCAAGGGGTGCCCTGCGGCCGTGCAGAGATCCCACCCCAAACCCAGAGGCAGCACGGGCACCTTTGGCATGCAGAGACGCTGGCGAGCTGTATATATTGCTCCTGGACCCACGGGGAGCCCGAACGCTGCTAGCTCAAGTGCCTCCACCCACCCTCAATCGCACAGTACTGACGTGCCCCAGATAGTTGTGGAGAGGGGACACACACGTGGTTACGATTTTGCGTGTAAGAGCTGATGTGAGAGCGAAACGTCGAAGGACAAATGCGGCTTGTGTCTGGTCAGATAAATTGCAGGGCCGCAGCCAACAAGGCTACTTAAAGGCGGTGCGGCAAATGGTCTTTGGCTCTGGAAATCCGTACGGTCTGAGCAAAACCCTGACGAAGCTGGTGGGAAGCTTTGCCTCTTCTTTGCTAGGTTTCTGCACCAGGCCTTGCTTCATCAGGATGTTAGCAACCCATTCCAGTGTATGGATGCTCTCGAATCCATTCTGTTTTCCCCATTTGAAACAAATGACTTGAGATAATAGTAGTCTTAAAACTGTAATTTACTTTTTGTGAAGGGGGAATTATAGGGAGCGTAAAGTCTTTTGGGGAAAAAAATTACAAAAGGCTTGCGTAATGAATTTGATGGGAGAGGAAACGGGTTGGGTTTTGTGCCGCTTGTTGCTTTTTGGTGTGTGTCTGGACTTGGAAAGTTCTCTGGTGAATTTGGGATTAAATCCTGCCTGGGAAGGCAGTGAAATTAGAGGAGTGTGTGGTGTGTGATAGGGGTGGGGGGAAAGATGTTTTTTTGTTTCCAGGGGGTTTAAATGCTCAGGAAGACGGGGCTTATCCAGGCAGGGGGAGAGGATTTGCCCTGGGGATGCCTCACACGGGGGTCTGGCCCTGGGTCCCCGGTGGCACCACTGCAGGAGCTCCTGAGCATCCTCCTGCCCTTGCACAGCTCCCCTGGGGCTCCCGCACCCTGCCAGGGGACGAGCGTCGCTTCTGGGCTTTGGCACGGTGCTGCGGGGAGCGTTACCGCTCGGGGTGTAACGCCTCGCCCAAGGGCCGTGTTTCGAGGTTGCGTGGAACGGAATGGTGCTTCTGGGTGGCAGCATGCTTGCCCGGGGCCTGGGGGATTCGCAGGGCATGGGGGATGTGCGGAGGGGGATGCTGACCCCTTCCCTCGGAAAAGGGGCAGGAGGTGCTGCAGAGCACGGGTGGGAGAGACTAAAGCGAAGGGCACCTCTTTGTAGATGAGGATGGAGCACGCGTATTTGCATGCACCTTTTAACGTTGCTGTTTGCAATTTGGCTAACAAACTGCAGGCAGCAGAAGCGGCAGTGGCACACATATCTTGGCTGGTGACGTGCTAGCTTGACTCTTTGGATTAACTGCGAGTGATTTTCAGATTGCTGGTTTAAATAGAGCACCTGAACAGACCTTAAATTGCCCCGTGGCACTTTCACAGCCTTTCTCTGACGTTAGTGAGAGATGCTTATGAAACCAAAAGTGTGTTTGTGGCACCACATGTTCTTGTATTCGGCAGTGATGGCTAATTTTTTTGTAAATTGAATAAATCATGTTTAAAAAAGTTAATGAGGCATTTAATTAATTAACAATGTAGAGTTTTATGGTCTTTATGGTTACATTTTGTGGTTAATGACATTCTTCTTATAGCTTCTTAATGCAGAATTGCCCGACAAAATTAGCCTTTTCGTCCAGTAGTAGGTATTCCGCCCTAGGACGAGCCTTCCCTTCTTACAAAAATAGATGAAAGGTGCTTCTTTATTTTCAGTTGCAGAATCTATTTTAAATGGTAACTGCATGCTAAAAGCGGAGCTGAGTACGGCAGCCGCTTCTGCTACCTATAT